AGGAGAGACAGAAAGGGTGACAAGGAGTCTTCTTGAAAGATTCCTCTTGGAATCAAGCAATTGGATGTGGCAGTACCTTTGGTGTGATTTTCCACAGTTTGATGCTATATTTATGGAAATTTACTAACATCGATGAAACTTTGTACATTTCCAAAACTTTAAGAATCAAATGGTGTTGTAATTATGGTAATCTATCCAAGCTGTGCTAAGATTACTACCTTTTTCCAGCAATTTTCCAGGATCATTTTATTTATTAGTAGTTGATCATTGCAACCATATGAACCTCATGGACATCCATTCTGTTCCAAAGGAAGAATGTTATTTTCGTCGAGAAAAGAACGAATGCAGTTAATCACGACAGATATAATCAATTTATAAGTGGTGGACAGACATTTTATTGGCCTATAATTTTTTTTATCATCTTTTTAAGCCGTTTTTGGTAGGAGATTATTATTATCTTCAGGGATTCATTCTGGAATTCCAATGGGACTATTAATGAGCACTGATAAAGTTTGTACTAGAGTTTATGTATTGATGACATATGATACGGACAAAAGTTAGGTACATTGTCATTTCTTGGGGATTTCCATTTTGGGGATTTTTTTAGAGATTGCCTACATTATTCTTGGTGATATTTTTCCATTATTATTTTTATTGTTATCATTATTATCTTATACTTTTTCTTGTGCCTTACTTCCATAATGAATTTGTTAGGACGTAAATTACACTCTGCCATTACCTCAGATAAATAATATGTCACTTCTGTTTGATTGCAAGGATAGATGGAAGAAATGATGTATGAAATGTGATGTATCAATTTAAAGAAAGAAAGGGAAAGGAAAGGAAGAAACTGAAGATAGAGGAATGCGTTTAACGTCTGCTTTAACGAAATGAAAAACCTTATCAATTTTGACTCTTTTCATTTGTACCCTCTTTCTTTAAATAATGAATTGTATTTATACTTATGATTATTATTGTAATATTTTGTTAAAGTATTTAACGATACAATAGAAAAATTTTCATGTGTATTTCATAGTTGGTGAAATTGCAAACATCTTATTCAATAAATGAACTTAAAAATTAAGATTCATCTGAAAATTAACTTCGGAAAACCATAAAATTTTCAAATGTACTGAGAATAAATTTTATATTTAGATAAAACATGAAGTGGTTAATAATCTGAGAGGAAGTCTATGTATTCAGAACTTTTTTTTTATTGAATTTGGTCTACAAGGAAAGTCTATTCAAATTGTTTCATGGCATTTTTACATTCAGTGCATGAGTTGTGGCACGTTCACATAAAACTTCAAAAGAAACCGTTCAAAGTTCATGAAATTTTGGTCTATTGTTGGTTATTATCAAGAATGTCAACGTTTTCAGTCACAATAGGGAACAATTTTGATTAACCTCATCCTGGCATTTTTGAGAAATGTTATATCTAAAAAAAATAAATACAGCTGATGCGTAAAATGGATTTTAAATACTTGTAAATAATAAACATTGAAACATTTTTGAATGAATACTTGTTCTCAAAGTAGACATCATATGCTTGTTTTCTGAACAAACACTTCTGATAGGGCGGCTAAATAATCCCATTTGCAGACGCTTGCTCAGGCATATTTTGGTTGTTCAACACCCACAGAGCTCAAGTGATACTGCAACTATGCTGAGAACACCTTATTTACGATTTCTAGGAGAAAATGCACAATGTGGCATGATCAGCAGTTATAACAACGTTGGTACGTTCAAAGCCTCGGTCACGATGACTTGTGACTTCGTAGTAGCATATATTTCACATACATACATACATACATACATACATACATACATACATACATACATACATACATACATACATACATAGATTTGGGCACCTCGAAGCGGTGTAATGGTTAGCAAGATTGTCTCGCTAGAACAATTACGACTGCGTAGTGAGTTCGATCCTTACTAGGTGCCTTCTACATTAGGCTCTGTGCCACATCTAAGCTACTTTTGGAAAATCAAGATAGAAAGTATCAGCCTTGGAAAATCAAGATAAAAAGAATCTAACTGAGATACATAGATAGATAGAGAGAGAAAATCTCTCTCTCTCTCTCTCTCTATATATATATATATATATATATATATATATATATATATATATAATACCTAACACAGGGCCAGGTTATCGGCGATTAAACCGGTTTTTTCGCGAGCCTTTGTGGGAAGGAATGTCGGCTAGAAGCCCAATACATGATCAACGACTACTTTTTTGCACACAAAATTTGCGTGGACATAGAAATATGCATACACGCAAGAATATTGAAATAATTGTTCGACGACCATGCACGCGTTAAATCAGCTGGAATAAACTAGACCACACAGCTATATAGTCAATATCATAAGAAAATCCCAAGGTGTGCCGTTCATTTGCTTCGTGTCATATTTGTGTCCTAATCGCTTGTTACTGGTATTTCCAAAAAGTATGGATGGTGCCAAACAAGCCTTCACCACTTTAGTCAGTTCTCTGATATATATATATATATATATATATATATATATATATATATATATATATATCAAACTCCTTGGTGTTGACAAGCCCGGTCTGGGCGAAATGGCCATATATCATATGGGATATTGAATTTTATCTACATGTAATTCATATATGCTCTATAATACATATATTGAGCGCTCTTCTGTGGATCAGTTTTAATATTTTATACTACTAAGATTCACTTAGATTACTTACCACGGATTTTACCTAAAATACCTTATATATATATATATATATATATATATATATATATATATATATATATATATACACTTTAAAATACCTTAATTTTTTCTACTGCCCGCCTTTACTAAGCTAACCTGCTTCTAACCATGAAGTTACAATTCCTCTGGTTTTATAATTGAAAATGTTACGTTTCTAACAATAACCAAATAGGTGAGAGGAAGCTGACCGAGTGAACATGTTTTTGACATTTAAAAATAATATATATTCATATGTAAAAAATTGTTTGGATTTTGTTTCCTTAGCTCGTCATAAAGATCTATGCACACGTGATGCAGATTCTCATGGCCAGAAAAGATTGAAATGTGCTTCCATGTTGCTGTTATTATTATTATGTGCTCATTTCTTTCTTTTCTTTTTTTTTTTTTTTTTCCCATGACACACGTCAGATACGCTCACTCGTTGTTCTGACTTTATTCGCCGATGGGAAAGATGGCGTGATGCATGCATATATAAGAACAAGAACACACACACACACACGCACACACACAAGATACATCACACGTACAAACACACACACAAAAACATATACACATAAATACACACATACAAACGCACACACAAAAACACAGACACGTACATACACAAACAAAAACACACATAGAAAACGACACACAAAAACAGACACGCACAAACGTACGTACGCATACACAAGCACACACATACAAACGCACACGCACAAAAACATACACACAGAGACGCACGCACGCAAACACATACACAAACACAAAAAACACACACAAAATACACAAGCAAACACATTCACAAACGCAAGCACACACATATAAACGCACACAGCCTGCACAAACACACACACAAAAACAAACACACACACACACACACACACACAAACTCCCAGACAAAGACAAGTGCGCGCGCACGCAAAAACACACACCTTAGTAAGTACGAATCTATTGAAAAATATTAATTTCAAAGGATGAGAATAAGAACACTCTCATACCAGAAAAAATAATTCTAGCATGACTTGTATTCACTAAGGTTTGCTAGGTATGGCCCAAGGCTAAATAAGAACAAAAGATTCTTGCACCGATCTTCCAAATGGGAGCTAATTTTTTTACAGTGATAATCACCCTGTAAAAGGCCCAAGAGCCACGCGAGGTAGAGAGTTACAGAGTAAGAAGTACAGTTTATGGGATTATGTGGTTTCCATTTTTCAATTACTAATTCAAATTAATACCACCTATTTAATTTAATTCCATTTTTGGTAAATAATTTTAAATGCCTAGATTCATCGGATAGTTGACCTTTTTTTTCAGTATTCGTTCCACTTTACAATTTAATAAGTAAACGGGCGATATCAAAGCTAATACTAAATGTAGCAGAGATATGCCTAATCATAAATGACCATTCACGTTTCTTGTTATGCTCTCAATGACCAATACTCTCAAATATAGTGGGATATAATTTTGAATTGAACAAATGTATACTTTTAGTAATTAAAAAAAAGGGAACAGGGGTCAACAGAAGGAATTAAACTTTAGATCATTTGGAAGAAGATATCATTACAAATATCTTATAAGATTAAAAGAAGATTTAATATAGAAGGAAGCAAAGTAAACAACGGTAGATATGAAACGACATTCGATGAAAGTAGCTCTTCCGGTTTTATTTTATTGAGAGTCTCTGTGCAATCATATTTATATTTTTTATTATTGGTGAAAGTAGAATGCAAATTATTAGTTTTGCTACGTGGCAATGATTTTTGTGCGTTGGTAGAATAATGAAAATTAAATCCTCCGGCGTTTCACCGTTGTTGTATATTTCGTTTATCTCTTCAGTAAATGTCTCAATCCCAAATCTATGATTGTCAACATCTCCCTGACAATCTCATCTGTTCCTTCAGTTTTGTTCATTTTGTATAATTCTATACATAATTTAGATCATTGTATCGTGGATCCTTCCATAATTTTATGCATTGTAAATTTCTCTCTTTTGTTGTGGATGAAGACTTTGTAACGAAAAGCGTTCCACAAAAAGCCTATAAATGTGTCCATACATTTAGAATATGGGGGAAATATGGGTGATTCTACTCCGTGAAAGTAACATAAATAATGTAATGGACTCGTAAAAGGCACAACTTGATTTGAAGTGGTTATGGTTGTATTATAAGATTGATTCATAATCGCGATTTCTATTAGTAATGCATCAATATTTAAGTTACTTTTATACTTATTAATAAATATATTCACATATGAAATACAGGCAAGTACATCTATTTAGTCCATAGAAACACATAGATAGATAGATAGATAGATAGATAGATAGATAGATAGATAGATAGATAGATAGATTAAAATCTATTTTACATATTTATAAGTCTAACATTCGTCCTAGATTTTAATATTGCTGCAATATCTGGTCTGGTGCCCCTGCTATATATTTAGAGATTCATGATAAAATCCAAAAAAGAATCTGCAATGTTATTCGTCCTGACCTGTCATCTCCTCTTCAGTCCCCGGCGTAATGTAGCTTCCCTGTGCTTTTTTTTATAATAATTACATGGTAACTGTTCGAATGAACGTTGGTAATTTTCTACTAGGATCGTTCTTTTTCTTTTTTTTTTTTCAGACCAGTTGAAGTCTCGACATGTGACAGACGTGTTTTTTGACGGCGCTCCTAAGAAATCTCGCTATTATTTTACTATTTTGTGAGAGTTTTTTAATTTACTGTTTCCTAAAATTTTTTCGTCCTCTTCGACTATAAGTCGCGTTTTTTTTTCTAGTGTAATTTTTTTTTTCATTTCACTAGTTTATTGGTCTCACTTTCTTTTTCTTGTAAATTGTTTTGAATTTTAGTTTTTTCTTTATTTCTTAACACCCACTAAGCTAAATTTCTTATTTTTCGTATATTTTTTTGCATTTTTGTTTAATCTTTTCTGATTAAACTTTTTCGTATTCGTTTATATTGTTCGTCACTTTTATTTTTCTGCTCGTGTTTTTAACCCCCCCAAATTTGTTTGCATTTAAAATCAAAAATTACAAAGAACGAACATTATCTATGAGTTCAAATGCCCTTAAAGAACTGTGTTCCTGATCAAACCGGGCTCATAAATAATTATATAGGTTACACAACTACATGCTTATCCAGACGTCTTACGTTACACCTATCTGATCACAACTCCATTAGAACCCATTTAAACACACACAAATTTACCAGACTGCATTAGGAACATACTAGTAGAAAACACAAATATATTAACTGCATCCACCTGCAAAAAAAGATTAAAAATAATGGAAGCTTTAATAATAAAAAAAAAGCCAACTCTTAACAATATTAACTATAATCAAAGCCACAATGTGCTAACCGTATTCGGAAATTAAAAACATCCCTACCACACACTAAGACATACACATAACGCACACACTCAATTAAGCTGAAAAATCGAATCATCCTTGATAATGGCTAAAGGTATAGCCGAAAGCGCTCGGAAATATAAAACATTTGGACAGTTCTTACACACCCTTTGTCCAGAAAAGGCTCTTGTTCGAACACAAGAAAAATTAAATAAAAAGATTAACCGAAATAACTTGTCTGTCGTTTTCAATGAAACATGCATAAACGAAGGATTGCTGCCTAAATATGCAACTATATATATATATATATATATATATATATATATATATATATATATACTCGTTTGGAAAAAACTTAGGTATTTTGGCTTGTAAGTGAACAAACCAATGCCCAAGGAAAAATAAGGGATAAAAAAGAAAGAACTAAGAACATGTAATTGAGGCGAAAACAATAGTCCAGAATCCAAGATCACAGTCCAAAGAAACAAACCTCTAAATGAGTAAAATAAAATTAACTACGTAAAGTGTTCAATATGAACCTAAAGAGCCAGGTAAACGTACCTAGGTTTCATCTATACGAATCGTCAGGGTTATATATATATATATATATATATATATATATATATATTTCCAAGAGGATAGAATCCAGGTAGAAGTCAATGTCCATTATATTTATATGCCCAAAGCACATACGTAGATACACACATACACAACAACATATCTATATTTACTCGCACATACATACATATACGTGTGCAAATAAATATATATATATATATATATATATATATATATATATATATCCATACACATACACTCATGCATACATATACATATACACATAGACATGCACATATGTGCACATGAACATATATGATGAATACATATACATACACACACTCATCTAAACAAATATACAACGTATCTATCTATCCATATATATATATATATATATATATATATATACAAATACATATACATACATATATATGTGTGATACTGCGCTGTCGGTTCGTGGTCAACTCCCAGTCGTGGCGCGAAACTGTAATGTTTCTTCCACCGGCGTTTTTGAGGTTGACACTTAGTCGCTGCCACCAGCCTGTGTCCCGGTCGATCGGTGGTCGTACCCGGTTCGATACCAGCTGCGTCTTTCCCAGCTCACTTCAAACGTATGGTTACCGAAGTAACTACTTCAATCTCAAGACTAACCTACCCACGTTGTAATTATGATCTTAGGTAGACGAGATCAATCAGGCGTCGGGTCGTAGTGTAAGTTGAGTCCTGACTGAAGGTGATATCGCACAAGTCTAAATAAAAAGAAGCAAATAAAAGAAAAAAAAACCGAAGAGATTCAAGTATGTTAAGAAATAACAAATTAACTTCATCCGTCTGCTATATATAGGAGTGTGTTTTCCTCCCAGCTCGTTTTCTAAGGATTGTGTCACATCTACGTTTCTTAAGCAAATTTTGGTATCTTTAATGGCGAATATATACATGGAATACTTTGAGGAAATGGCATTAGAATCTATATCTCTAAAGCCAATTATATGGTTAAGGTACGTAGATGACACATTCATAGTCTGGCCACACCATCGCTATTATAAAAAAGGCTTCAAACAATCATATTATTTACATTTATAATAATCAAAGGAAATGCATTTATTGATGTCTGTACGTCATCAGTGTGAATCCACATTCACTGGTTATCAAACAGGACCTGCAAGTGGCGGATTAGTATATCACTAAGTAACTCACTCGAGTACAGAACGAGTCTCCATATATTATGTTTACCACGTTTAGGAAATGCCGTCCTAGAGACAGAATGTATTTATTGATGTCTACATGGCGTCAGTGTGATCCCACCTTCACTGGTTAGTAAACAGGACCTCTAAGTGTCAGATTGGTGTCCCAATGAGTGACTCAATCGAGTACATGACAAATGTATATATATTATGTTTTACACACGTTTAAGAAATGTTGTCTTATAGAATGAATATATTAATTGATGTCTATATGGCCTCAGTGTGAATTGACCTTCAGTAGTTAGCAGACAGGACCTGTAAGTGGCAGATTGGTGTACCACTGAGTGACCCCCTTGAGTACAGGACGAGTGTCTATATATTATGTTTGCCACGTTTAAGAAAGACTGTCCTAGAGACTGAATGTATTTATTGATTTATTGATATTGCGTCAGTGTGAATCCCGCTTCACTAGTTAGCGCGCAGGACCTGTACGTAGCAGATTTGTGTATTATTGAGTGACTCACTCGAGCACAGGACAAATCCTTATCGTAATACTCTCAAGAAATGTGTGATAAATAAACTTTCTTTCTGTTTCGCTGTTAGGTTTAACTACAACATTCAAGTTCGAAAAAAGATTCTAGAATCAGCGGTCTTGAAACTTGAAAGTTGATCAAATAAAATAATATTGTCATGAAAATAATATTGTCATTCAGACTAATGTCAGCAGATGTGATATTTAATATATTTGGAATGAAATTGTATTTTTTCGTTGTGAAAAGGAATGTGTTCATTCATATGAGCAAAACAAAGAGAACAAAAAAGAAATAGAAAGCAAGGTATATGTGCATGCGTGTTAATTTTGTGTGCATGTGTGGGAGAGGGTGACCTTTGTTTAAAGTGACATTTATTCTCGTAAGTCATTAGCGTAGTATCCTCAGATCCCTAGGGATCCGCAAGAGATCACTTGGCGAGAAACGGTAATAAATAAGCTAATGCATTTTTGAATAAATTTTATTTAATTATATATTTGTAATTTTTCTATACACGAATGGTATATTGTAGGAAAATCCTTGGTTATTATAAAAAAGGTTTCAACTTCTTACATTATTTAAAATTATATATATTATATTATATTAAAATTATAATTATATTATATTATAATCATAGGGAATGTATTTAGCAATGTCTATATGCCGTCAGTGGTTAGGACCTGTAAGTGGCGGATATGTGGCGTATATCATTGAGTGACTCACTCGAGTACAGGACGCATGCACTCTGTTCATAAATTGTTTACCACGTCAAATACGATGAAAGAGATAGATATTAATAATGGTGTATATTTTTATGCAAATGTTACTTGAGACATGAAAACTATTTCATGGGTGGCAGAATGGTATAAAGTTAATATTTCTGAGGCTGCACTATCGAATATTTAAAACTTTTTAGTTAAAATTAAGCAAAGTTTCTTTTTTTAGTCTAAATGACTGATTTCTACTGCTCAAGACTGGGTGAAAGTCAAGCAACTATATCTAACTCATTTTTCTAACTGTATCTTTTTTCAATTTTAAAATCACTTGTTGCACAACCAGATCAAATTATATATATATATATATATATATATATATATATATATATATATATATATATATATATATATATATAAATATATATATATATATATATATATATATATATATATATATATATATATATATATATATATATATTAATTGTATATATAAGCTTATTCGTAATTTTGTTGGTTGAATTTAATAATATCTATTTAAATGAATTCTTGCAATCTAAGTATATACGAATCAGGATGAGATATATGTGCATATATCGGTTAGTCACCCTTATATTCAAGTTGGGACAGACGGGAAGTCGAGAGCTATCAAATTAGTTGAAAATTGATTTGTTCCTCTGATTGATAACAAAAAAACGATTACAGGGACTAGACACTAACAATATCTTGCGGTGAAGTAGATTTGTTGTTCCCTAAAATGATGACAAACGGGCTAAAAAGCAGACAAACGCTACTGGCAAAGAGTGAGGAAAATCAATTTTCAAGATTTCTGATTATATGGGAAAATGATCTACTTGAGGTGGGTTTTATTTTCATGGAACAATTTCTAAATTCTCAATCGAATCGCTGGTGTACGTTTAACTTTCCCGGTAGTGTAAAGATGTCAATGTAGCTTTGACCTGTCACGAACAATGAGTCTGTTTTAAAGGTGACTTTCCACTTGTCGGTGACTATTTATTCGTTTTAATTACTTTTAGCAACTAAAATAAACATTTTATCAGATTAGTAATTTTTTTAGAGGTCTTTTCTTTTCGGTTTTCTTCCTTTACATTCTTTTTTCTTTCTTCGCTTTTGTTTTTCTCTCTTGTTTTTCCCTTATT